TAGTAGTACGTACGTACGTACGTACCGTGTACGTAGTAGTACTACTTACTACGTATATATATATATATATATATATATATATATATATATATATATATATGGAACATTAGCCCACTAGCTCATATGAACATATGTGTTCATATGAGCCCAACGATTCATATTGAATCTGGAGAGATCTGACGATCACGTCGTTATTTCGTATTTGAATTTTTAATATGTTTTTTACGAATCCAAATAATTTAAAATTTTAGGTGTGTATTCTTCAAAAAATAGGATAATCTAATAAAAATATTAAAAAAATAATTTGTAATAAATAATTGATAAAAATACCCCTAAAACGTTTCAGGGGTATTTTCTACAAATCCAAATCACTTGAAATTTTTGGCGTATGTTCATAAAAAATAAGTGAATCTTCGAAAAATATCAAAAATATATTTTACATGAAAATATTGACCAAAATACCCCTGTAAAGTTTCGGAGGTATTTTGGTCAATTTTATTTTTGCAAATTATTTCTTTTATATTTTTATTAGGTGCAAATTGATGAGAAGAACACGTGCTTAAAATTTTAAATGATTTAGATTTATAAAAAAAAAATTTAAAATTCAAACACTACCAGACATCTGTGATCGTCAGATCGACCCAAATTCAATCTAGAAAGGGGTTTAAACAGTCAAATTAGAACCCACCTCAAAATTTTCAATAGAAGCTGTTGTTTTGATGCTCAATTATCCTCAAATTGATCATCTTGATATCAAGATGCGTGGACAAAAAAAAACAAATGAATTTCCAGTTTTGGAAAAGTGCTTCTTGTAATGTATTTTTGGACTATCAATTTTTAAGACTTTTAAGTTTTCATTGATCTACTAGATGAAAACTATTTTTTAAGCTCGAAATTTGATAATTAGATATAACAAAATATTTTAGTGTATCACAAATACTTACAGTATTGAAACCACATTTCTTGACTATATTTGAAGGTGCGCTTTACATTAATTGTTTAGAGTCTCGGTTCTATAAAAATCGGATCATAATGAAATTTTAATCATGAGTACAAAACAATAGGGCTCACAATTAAAAAATATTAAAAAATTATTTCTCAAAATATAAATGATTGAAATACCCCTGCAAAATTACAGGGGTAATTTGATCATTTAAATTATTGACAATAATTTTTTTATATTTTTATATGGTGTGAAATAGTGTTAGGTATATACACCCAAAATTTCATATTAATAGTATTTATAAAAAAAATTTAAAATTCATATGGTGATATGTATTCTGAACCACATGATGAAGATCTCACGACTGGGATTTCACCTATATTACTATTCATTATAGCGGCCCAACTGTTGGAAAGTTGACTATATATATATATATATATATGAAAAATTCTTCCCAACGCCTATAGGTGAAAATGAACAGTGATTTCGTTTACCCTCATCACCATCCAAACTTCATCGCACGGTCACAATTATCTAGTAGTATTTACATTTTCATTTTATTTCTACAAATCTAAATTACTTGAAATTTGGAATGTGTATACATATTAGTGACACGCACCTAATGAAAATATGAAAAAATAATAATTCATAAAATATAAATTGACCAAAATACCCCTAAAAATTTATGGGGTATTTTTATCAATTATATTTTACAAATTATTTTTTTTATATTTTTATTAGGTGTGCCTCACTAAGACGTACACACACTCAAAATTTTAAATCATACCGATT